CTCAGCAAGTAAATATGGATAGCCCTTGGTAAAAATTTAAGCATGCCAAATAAACCAAGTAAGCATAACAAAACTTTCAATGATAACTCGTTAAAACAAACTCAGATTCAGTTCAATAGCAAAACGTTCAATGACAAACCGTTTATGCAGGATCAAAATTCAGTAGTAGTCTCGTCTATAAGTCATGGCCAGTGTTTAACAAACTCCACTAGCAGGCGTCAGTAATGGTACTAGTGTTTAACAACTCCCACTGGCAGGCGTCAGTAATAACTAATGTTTGACCTCATTGGCAAGGTTACAGAAATATCAGTGTTTAACAAACTCCCACTAGCAGGCGTCAGTAATGGTACCAGTGTTTAACAACTCCCACTGGCAAGCGTCAGTAATAACCAATGTTTAACCCCATTGGTAGGGTTACAGAAGTACCAATGTTTAACAAACTCCCACTAGCAAGCGTCAGTAATGGTACCAGTGTTTAACAACTCCCTCTGGCAGGCGTCAGTAATAACCAATATTTAACCCCATTGGCAGGATAAGCCGGTTCTACAGAAATACATGTCGACATGTGCTAGCGTTTGGAAACTCCCACTAGCGGGCGTCAGTAATCATGACTATATCAGAGACAAAACCATGCAGGATTTACAGAAAAATCCGTAATTCACAATCAATCTCCAATTTCAGAAATAAACCGAAAAATTTCCATGTGAGCATGGATTTAACAGAAAAAATCAGAACTCTCAATTCATCAAAGCAGTTCAGTCAATTCCAAATAGGCATGCTCAACTCCAGAAAAACAATGAAATGCGCATTTTCATTCCAATCATGCTCAACTCCAGAAAATAATAATTTTCATAAAAATCATCAAAACTTTCATTTCAGTTTAATCACACTCAAATGCTGATAAAATCAATTTAAAATCAATTTGAACATTGCCACCATCTCAAAAACAATTTAAAACATGCTTTGAAATCGAAGAGTTTTACCATAATTTACTTACCTTACTCGCACAGAACAGAAGGCTTAACCCAAGTGCTACGGTGACAGAACGATCAAAACCTAATCACAATATTCCAAAGTTAATACTGCACTACCACAAATTCAAAGGGAAATCATCATTAGGACTACCCCTAATCACGATGCTATTTCTATCAGTCTCCACATGACCGGACATCTCCAAATTTGTTCTTATATTACAAACTAAACATTTAAATCCCTGCTAATTGTTGACCCTCGGTGTGTGAACAGTGCCCATGAACAGTAACTTTGTCACGCCCCAGAACCCAAATCCGAGACATGACAGATGCCGTGCACTCGTGAAAAGGTCCCACGAATGCACAAAACTCAAAACTTATCCAATTCACATCTGACAATCCAATATGACTTAATCTCAAAACCTCAACGTCAAATCTCTTGTAAACTAACAATCCCTTAAATGAATGTATAAAATCTCCGATTAAACTCCAGTCTTACAAGATCATGATCTATATTTACAATCTATGTTCACTTTACAAAATGGCTAGCATTCTAACTCGTCACTGCTCTCGTTTCCCCGTCCTCAGTTTCGCTTTCTGAAATGGTGGACAAGGAAGAACTATGAGATAAAATATCTCAGTAAGTAAAAATATGGATAGTCTTTGGTAAAAAGTTTTAAGCATGCCAGATAAACAGTTTAACATAACAAAACGTTCAGTGATAAACCGTTAATGCAAAATTAGAATCAAATTCAGTTCAATTGCAAAGCATTCAATGACAAACCATCAATGCAAAATCAGATTCAATTCAATAACAAATCGTTCATGCAGAATAAAACTCATCAGTAGTCTCATTTATAGGTCATGGCCAGCGTTTATAAACCTCCCACTGGCGGACACAATAGTTACCAATGTTTAACCCCATTGGCAAGGTTACAGAAGTACTAGTGTTTAACAAACTCCCACTGGCAGGCGTTAGTAATGGTATCAGTGTTTAACAACTCCCACTGGCAGGCGTCAGTAATTACCAATGTATTCGCCCATTGGCAGGCGTCAGTAGTACCAGTGTTTAACAACTCCCACTGGCAAGCGTCAGTAATTACCAATGTATTATCCCATTGGCAGGATGAACCGGTTTTACAGAAATACATGTCAACATGTGCTAGCGTTTATAAACCTCCCACTAGCAGGCACAGTAAACATGACCATATCAGAGACAAAACCATGCAGGATTTACAGAAAAACCAAAAATTCACGATCAATCTCAAATTTCATAAATAACCGAAAAATTTCCATGTGAGCATGAATTTAACAGAAAAGCTCAGAATTTACAAAATTCTCAGTTCATCAAAGCAGTTCAATAAAATTCCAAATAGGCATGCTCTACTCTAGAAAAACAATGAAATTCTCTTTTTCATTCCAATCATGCTCAATTCCAGAAAAACAATGAAATTCCCACTTTCATTCCAATCATGCTCAATTCCAGAAAAACAATGAAATTCCCACTTTCATTCCAATCATGCTCAATTCCAGAAAAACAATGAAATCCTCATTTTCATTCCAATCATGCTCAATTCTAGAAAAACAATGAAATTCTCATAAAATCATCACAATTTTCATTTCAGTTTAATTACACTCAAATGCTGATAAAATCAATTTAAACCTTGCCACCATCTCAAAAACAATTTAAAACATGCTTTGAAATTGAAGCGCTTCATCATAATTTACTTACCTCACTCGCATAAAACCGAAGACTCGATATCAGTGCTAAACTGATAGAATGATCAAGAACCTAATCAAAATACCCAAGAGTTAATACCACACTACCACAAATTCACAGTGAAATCATCTTTAGCACTACCATCTTTAGCACTACCCTTATTCACGGTACTATTTCTATCAATCTCCACATAACCGGACATCTCCAAATTTATTCTTATATTACAAACTAAACATTTAAATCCCCGTTAATCGTTGACTCTCGGTGTGTGAACAGTGCCCGTGAACAGTACCGTAAACAGTAACTTCAACTTCCAAAATTGGCAAAACATAGCTAATTCACAGGGTTTCTCTCCAAAATCTCACAACAGTCATAATAAGCTAATTTTCTACATTAAGCAAGCTTAAAACCCATGTTTTAAGGCTGCCAAAACTCCTCCATTTCAACAGGAAACTTCCAACGGACAAAATGGAGGAACCGAGCTTGGCAAAATAGCACTAAGGACCGGCTATGCATACATAACATCACAATAATCCAATTCAAGCTAATTTACACTTAAATTAAACAAAACCCACTTAAAGCTACCAACTCCCAGAATAGAAAAATGGAAAAAAATGGCTTGGCAAAAACCACACTCACACACGGGATTTCTCTCTAGAAATCATGGCAGCCAAATCAAGCTAAATTCTACATAATCAAGCTTAAAACATATTTAATTCACTGCCAATTCTTCCCCTGTTTGACAGAAAATTCGGACAAGAAGGCAGCAGCTACATGTATAAATTTCAACTACTAAATGGGTAAAATTCAGCCTTGGAGAAACTAGCACATACCAGAATTCCTTTTCTTTTTTTTTCGGCCAGCAGAACCCGCACCGGGCGAGCATGGGGGCTGACGGAATTGCAAGGGGGATGCTCATGGCTCTACCAAAAATTGGAAGGGAATAAAACAATCAAAGTAAACCCAACCTAAATCAAGGTTAAAGAGAAGGATTCATGGCTAAATTTTACCAGAAAAAGCCCAAAAATCTCACACCCACATAGCAGCCGGCGGACAGGGGAGAAGAACAGAGCAGAACCGAGATTTTCTGGGCTGAGAGGGAAGATTCTAAGCCCCAAATCTTGTGATTTAACAAGAAAGAAGAAGAAATTCATCAAGATCTCACCGGGTTTTTAAGGGGGAGAGAGTCGGTGGCTTGGGGGTTTTCGGTCGGGGAGCAGAAGAAGATAAGCAGAAGCAGAAACACGCGGCTGACGAGGAAGAAAAGAAAGAAAAAAGAAAAAGAAAAAGCAATTAATCCTTATCCTAATTTTCTTTCTTTTTAATCCCTCAATTTTTGAAAATTTTGCTAATAAGCCCCTAAATAATATTTTTCCTCAAATAAGTCCCTTACTTAACTTTAATATTTTAGAAATTTTGGGGTATTACAAACTTCAACTTCCAAAATCACAACAACCCAATTCAAGCTAATTTACACTTAAACTACGCTTAAAAAACATAGCTTAAGGGCTTGTTTGATACAGTAGTTAAAATTCAACGGATAACAGATAGTAGGTAGCGGATAGCGATAACGAGTAGTGGGTGACGAATGGCGGATACCGGATGACGGATACCGGATAGTGGAAAGTGGATAGTGGATGGTAAATAACGGATTCGATAAATATAACTGTTTGGCTATACAATAGTTAGCGCTTGTTGTTTAACATTAAATGACTAATAAAGATATGTTTAAAA